TGGGCGGGCAGGGGAAAGCGCTGGCGACAGCGCTCAGCTGCCGGAGAAGAGGAAAAGCGACGAGAAGGAAGACAAAAAGGTAGGTTACAACTCCGTTTGCCCAGGCGGAAATCGTTTATCCGCACAGAACGGAGGAGCCGCCTTTAAGAAACTGGGAGGATCGCGGCGGTGGGGTGGGGGAGACTGGGGAAAAAGAGGGAGAGAGAGAGAAGGAATAATCTGGATGGGGAATGAAGGATGGAAAGGGGGTGGGGATCCAGTCTGGTCTGGTAGAGAAGTGGAAGACTGGAGCCTCCTCTGCAGAAATCGCTTCGGGCTTTGGATTTTGACCCCCGGGTAATATATGTTGCATGAAGTCTCCGTCTTCTTCTTCCTCCTGTTTTTGTTTTTTTTTAATAGAAGCGTCCCTATCACCTTATTTCCTTTCTATGAAACAATGAGTTCTGCTGCGTAAGGACAAGGACGGTTATAAGATTGTCGAAGGATAAGGCAGATTTAGAAGAGTTATCTGCGTGTGAGAAAGACCTTTTTTCCCATTCCCGTGCTAGATAATTTATGGACTTGACTGGGTGTGCTTCATCTTGTGTTCTGAATTTAGTTCCTTAGTCATCATGCAATGAAATTAAAATGGAGTAAAACGGCTGGTGGAAAAGTTTGATTTTATGCTTAACAAACTCTCTTATTTGCTCTGTGAGTGTGTATGTATGTGTGGTGCATATGTTTGTGTGTGTGGTGTGTCAGCATGTACACACACACACACATATATATGCATATATATTTGAATATAGGCCTAGAATGGGATTAATTTTGTGTGTGTGCGTTTAGACAAAGGGAGTGTGTAAGATGCATATTTATTTTATATTTCACATTTGTCATTGCCCATCTCCCCAGAAGTGACTCTGGGTGATTTACAGTAAAAGAATAAATAAATTTCCTCCATATTTTATTGTTACATCTTTGCTGTGTCATTGCAAATTGGCAGCTCCTTTTTGTATGAAGAGCAGACCTTTACCTTTGGAGTTCAGTAGAGAAATGGGTCAGCCTTGCCTTCATTGGAGCTGATTTATGAGAGATCCTTGCCTGCATAAATTCTTTGAAACAACTGGAGAGAAAGAAAACATTGTCACTAAAGGCAGTGTTAGCAAGTTGCATTGATCAGTGCTCTTATCTGTAAGCATGCTTTTTTTTTCTCTAATATTTCTAAGTAAAGATTTCATAAACTGGTGTATAGCTTGCAACAAAGATGCTCATGGCGGCCTACATTTTCCTACCTCTGTAAGCATGACTAAACAACTGAGTAAAACATTACATGCTGCCAAAGTGAGTAATATTTCAGTAAAAGCATGCCATTTCCCCTTGTAGATGATAACTATTGCATCAATAGATTGTCCCCTGAAAGCATGAATGATTGCATTATGCTAGAAGTGAATTGTGTTTCATTGGTGTAGTTCAAATGTGACTGGTATTGAAACTTGTGTAAGGAAATGTTGGAGTAAGCTACTATGTATGAAGAAAAAGATAAGATGTTGTTATGGCTTAATGCATTCCAGATTGCACCTAGTATTGCCACCCTCTTCGCAGCATGTTACATTTTTCAGTGCTGTGTAACTAATTTCTGTAAGAAGCAGAAAAATTAATACATGTATCAGTTTTTGGTAGACAATGCTATATTCAATTATATTTTAGGTTTATTAACTAATTTGTAATGGTGGCATTTTTATTAACTGGGTCTCCTTTTCCTGTTATGAAGAAAATAAATAGAATTCCCAAGACTGATCATTTTACTATTTCTTTGTTGTTGCTTTGAACTTAAGGTGGCTTTGTGTTCAACATGTATGTATTTATGACATAGTTAAGTTGTGATTGCAGATGGCTGTAGTACATACTAATAAGCTTTGGCAGTTTAGGCTTACCAACCATATTTTACAAATATTAGCCTGCAAATGTTAATTAAAATATACATTGACAGCTACCACTGGAATCTGTAGCAGCTGTGCCAGTGCCTTCAGCATTACAAAATCCTGTCATCAGCAGAAATGTGTGATCAATACTTACTTTTAGATGCATTGTGTGCTCTGTCAAATGCTTTACTAGTAGTTGGTAGAAGGAAGTCAAATAATACTGGTCTGCTGGTGAAAGAAGATTCTGAGGATGCTTGGTTAGAGATTTATAGCTAACTGAAACAGATACGTAAATTAGTCTTCTGCTGTGATGGAATTTCTGTGATGCTTGTGAGCAACTTTTCATGAAAGAAATAAAAATACGATTCTTCCTAAAGTGTGGTTTCAAAAAGAACACCTCAGCAGCATTCTCCTTAGTACCCAGTATCAAAACTGTTCTTGACTTTTTTGTTATCTAAGGAACTGGTTTGAGACTATGGGAAAGAGGGGAATTATTAGGCAATTGTAAGTCTAGAATGCTAATCGACAGCTCTAAACTATTCCTAATTTTTTTTTTTATTAAAGCACATCTTTTCCAAATTGGTATGAATGTGTGTACACCTAAGCATCTGGCTTTATTGAATGCGTTGAAATGCAGAATATTTGCAAAGCGGCATTTTTTGTGTGAAACTGTGCCAAGTGTACTTCAGTCATGGACACAATAATTCTGTGAAGTAGGTCACTTAGTGTACATTCCTATTCCCCTGAATAAACTTCTTTGAACTCAGTAGGATAGGGTTAAAAATACTTAAGTATAGGATTTATTTCACAGATGGAGGAATGAGACTGAAAGGCTATAATTTCTTTTCAGTCACACATTATTTACATTTATGTCAAAGAGCCAAGCAACATATTAAGTCCTCTCATGTTGTGGAGTTCCTCTTGAAATTGTCAATTGATGTTGCAAGCAAGGAATCATGTTTTTGAAAACTATGTAGAGGGGAAACACCCCTCTATCTCTGAATGCAGAAAATTAGCATATTGGGGAGAGAGTGTGGAAAAAAGACTCTTTCTGGACAGCTAGTTTTCTGTGTGAAAGAATTCCGTGTCTGTGTTCACTGCGGCAAGTGAATGTCAGCATTTCAAGTAACAAGTGTCAAATCCAGGAGCTGGGATACAGGTCAATATTTCTGCAGATTTGTTTCAGGTTTCCAGTGCGTTGTGACATAACCTGCAATGAGTTGTTCAGATTGTGGAACTATATTAGAAGCAGTGGTTATAAATAAGGCTATGTAGTTCCTCAGATCACCTAAACTTTCTCTGTGTGAGAGTTGATCACACCTTGTAGATCTTCAGAGACAACATTATAGAATGGCAAAAAGTCGCTGGCTTCCCACATTGTTCAAAGTCATAATGCCATTTGTTTTGTTTTGGCTTAGGATGATGTGCAAATTCAGTCATTGGAGTTTGCAAATTATGCCACTATGCCTTCTCAACAAACCATGACTTTGTGTAAGGTCTGATTCCAGCATTTAATTGGTACTTCCGTCTATCTGCAAACTCCTCTGAAAGCACAGTTAGCAAACACAAGGTTGCCACCAGAATTCCTCTCTGAGATTCCTAGTTTTACAAGGAGTGTCTGAATTTCAACTTACCATAGGGGTAAGTGACTTGAGGCTATAAACTATGATTTAGGGTGGAAATTAAGTGGAACTTAGTTGAAAATGTGTTGGTTTTCAGGAATGTTATTAATATAATAAAAACATATTTTCAAATATGCACAGTGATATAGCAGTAACCTTTATTTACTTATTGGGAAAACAATCTCTGTCTTCCAAAATGTCTGATTTCTAGAAATCATTTTGGAAACAGAGTTACTGGATCTCAGAAAGCAAATAATTAAGGAAATGTCATTGGAGATAGTGAAATTAATGCTGTGGAGACAGGCATAGGGCTGCATACCTATATCAAGGATCCCTCTGAAATGGCTGTCTTTTATTTGTTTTATTTCTCTGCCACTTCCTTTTGTTTTCAGAATACTATTTATTCCTAAATCTGGGAAAGAGGGTTTGAAAGCTTCTGTCAAATGAGGGGCATTATGAGAGAGGACTCTTGTAGTTTGAGGTCAGAAATGGTTAAAAGACCTGTTTCTGGATTCTTTTAAATTGATATCCCTCAGGCAGCTTCACATAGTGTCTTCATAGATCCTATAAAGGTTTTTGTCAACTTCCAAGCAATGTCAGAGACCCCTAGAAGGGGACTAATAAAAACAGAATTTTAAAATTATTTTTTACAAAGTAAAATTTAAAAGAGTTGCAGGAATATGCTGAGA